GTGATTTTCGGAAGTGGGCCTTATATGGGAGCTATGACTAATAATGGACCGATCCGAAAAGAAATTTGATAGAATGATTTGTATGTACATATTCAGCTCGAATTTTATCACAAAAGCTTTATTTATCAATGAAATATGTGCGTTTAGGTGATTTTTGGAAGTGAACCTTATATGGGAGCTATGACTAGTTGTGGACCGACATAGACCGACATACGTTGGTAGTGTGATTTCTATTCATATTGTATTTATATGTACAAAATTTTGTGTTGATACCGATATATTTGAGGGAGTTATTAACGATAAACTAATTTCCGGGAATATTCTCCTGTGTAAGGGGGCTATGGGAAATATTGGACCAATTGTTATGAGTTTGAACATACTTGATCCCTGCCACAAAAAAATAATGTGCGACAAAATTTATCGAAATATTTGTGGTAGTTTCTGAGAAAACTACTTAAGAATTGAAAAAAAAAAAGTTATTTTTTTCGAGGTAGTCTGAAATTTTTAGTCATAACTTTTTACGTCGTGAACCGATTTTGCTGATTTTACCGGATAATAAAGAATGTTTTGGGTGAATTTCGTGAATTTCTATTGCTTCGTTTTATCGTGAGAGCGTTTTAGACAGACAGACAGACGGACGGACAGACGGACATAGCTAAATCGACTCAGAATTTCTTAAGGATCAAGAATGAATATTTCTTGGTGTTACATACGGAATGACAAAGCTATATATATCCTCTATCACCACTGATGGTGGTGGAGGGTATAAAAAGCAACTACAAGAAAATATCGGAGAACAACATGAAGTATACCATTTTGATCGTCGTGAACTAAATTTTAAAAATATTTTATTTTGACTTTTATTTTTTAGGAAAAATAAGAGTTATTCTTTGACTTTTATTTTTTTTGAGCAGAAATAAAAGTTATTTTTTGAGCAGAAAAAAAGTTTTCGCATAGAATCGTTTATTATCCAATAATCAAAAAATAACTTTTTAACTGCTCGAAAAATGACTTTTATTTCTGCTCAAAAAAATAAAAGTAAAAAATAACTTTTATTTCTGCTCGAAAAAATAAAAATCAAAAAATAACTTTTATTGTTGCTCAAAATAATAAAAATCAAAAAATAACTTTTATTTCTGATCGAATAAAGTCACAGTCGGTGTTATTTTTGCCCGAAAAAATAAAAGTAAAAAATAACTTTTATTTCTGCTCAAAAAAAAAAAAAATAGATAAAAGTAAAAAAAATAACGCTTATTTTGTGACTTGTATACAGTTTATATTTGTTTGTGTGTATGTTATGTGTGACATGTATGCAAAGATACCATTCGATGCAAAATGCGACTTATACTACAAGTATTTATTTGTTATTGTTTTTACTTTGATGTAGAATCTACATTGTAGATATAAAATGTAAATAATACATACATACATACATACATACATACTACATACATACATACATACATACATACATACATACATACATACATACATACATACATACATACATACATACATACATACATACATACATACATACATACATACATACATACATACATACATACATACATACATACATACATACATATACATACATACATACATACATACATACATACTACATACATACATACATACATACATACATACATACATACATACATACATACATACATACATACATACATACATACATACATACATACATACATACATACATACATACATACATACATACATACATACATACTACATACATACATACATACATACATACATACATACATACATACATACATACATACATACATACATACATACATACACATATTTCTTTATTCAAAAAAGGTGGTGGGTATATTGTAAAACAATCGAAATATTGGTCATAGACACAGAAAAGTATGAATATTCTGGGTCTGCTTTGTTTTGGTATTGAAAATTGGTAATGATTTCACCCAGCCCCCATATTAAATCTTATTCAGAAAATTACTATATTGCTAGCAATTGACTTAAAAATGCATGTATAGCGACAAGCATGTATTCGACATAAACAAGATTTACTGAAGCCGAAATTTTATGAGAATCGGTCCATGGTTGACCCTACGCATCATATAAGATCTTCTTCAGAAAATCACTTTATAATACCAGTATAGCGACGAAAATTAACATGAACAGGTTTTGTAGGAACAAAAATCTACCTACAAAATTCGATAATGATCGGTACGTAATTGACCCTACCACATATACTAGTTTCATTTTAGAAAATTAATTTGTGACTTTAAAGTTCATATCCAAATGTAAACATGAAATAAATCAAAATAATTTTGGTTATATTTTTCTAAATTTGGTTATTTTTTATTCGAATTTTAGTTAGAAGAAATTTTTTGTTGTGGTAACACTGATTGAAAATCAGCAAAATCGGTTCACAATGTTATTAAAAAAGTTAAGTTTTTTTTCGTAATTCTTAAGTTGTTTTCTCAGAAACTACAAAAGATAATTCGATGAATTTTGTCACACGTTATTTTTATACCCTTCACCTTCGTGAAGAAAATATAATTTTCCGACCCTATAAAGTACATATATTTTGAATCCTTATAGATAGCGGAGTCGATTAAACCATTTCCGTCTGTCTGTCTGTTGAAATCAGTTTTCTGAAGACCCCAGATATCTTCGGGATCCAAATCTTCAATAATTCTATCAGACATGATTTGGAGAAGTTTCCTATTTAAAATAAGCAAAATCCGTCCATAAACAACGGAGATATAAGCAAAAATCCGAGACAACCTCTAAAAATTTCATAAAAAACAAGTAAGAGTGCTATATTCGGCTGTGCCGAATCTTATATACCCTTCACCATAGTGTATTTAAAAATTCATTTTCCCGACTATATCATTATTATAGCAATAGCAAAACATAATGAACAACAACAACGCTAAACGAAATAAACACACAAAAAAAAATGCAGTAAAACCAACAGACATCCAAACATACGAAACTAAATACAGAAAAAAAAAACAAAAACAAAATACACAACGCAATGAAACCAACAGACATCCAAACATGCGAAATTCAATACACAAAGAAAACAAAAACAATATAATTAATTATGTTGAAAATCAAAACAATCTAGTTAAAACTTTCCCATACAAAGGTACATATTTCCTGAAATGTATTTATCATTAATAATTTCCTCAAATATGTCGATATCAACTCAAAATTTTGCACACGTAAATGCAAAGAAATCATACTATCGGTCCACAATTGGTGATAGCTCCGGACACGGCTTGATTGTCTTAGAATTTAACAAGTGAGAGTGTTATACCCATCACGTGTACACGTATTTTTAAGCCAGAAAAGATCGTTAGCGCAATGTTCTGAAGGGGACTCTATATGCAGCTAGGGACATTTATTGGCCGATTCTCAATAAATTTGGTAGAGAGATTTTTACTCGTATAAAACTTATGTGTGTCGAATTTCATCGCTTTACTCGTATTTTTAAGCAAGTTATGAGCATTAAGGTAATTTTTTGAAGGGCATCTTATATGGGGATCAATCATATGCCGATTCTCCTAAAAGTCAGTAGAGAGGTTTTAGTACTTTTAATGAGCGTTGGTGTAATTTTCTGAAGGGGATCTTGTAGGGGGGTAGGGTCAATTATAGACCTTTCCACGTAAAATTTGGTTAAGAGATTTCGGAACTTACTTCAGTCGAATTTCATCGCTATATTCGTATTTTTAAGCAAGTAATGAGCGTTAAAGTAATTTATTGAAGGGGATCTTATATGGGGGTTAGGGTGAATTATGAACCGATCCACATAAAATTTGCTAGAGAGATGTTGACTCGTAAAAGACTTATTTATGTCAAATTTCATCACTATACTCGTATTTTGAATCTAGTAATAAGCGTCAGTTTCAGAAGGGGACCTTATATAGGGGATAGGGTCAATTATGGACCGATTCACATAAAATACAGTGCAGAGATTTTGGTTCGTAATAGATTTACTTATGTCAAATTTCATCGCTATAATCGTACTTTTAAGCCAGTTGCGTTAGAGTAATTTTCTGAAGGAGACCTTATATGGGGGGTAGGGTTAGTTATGGACCGATCCACATAATATTTGGTAGGGAGGTTTTGGATTGAATGTGACTTACTTATTTCAAAGTTCACCGCTATACTCGTATTTTTAAACCAGTAATGAGCGTTAAAGTAATTTTCTGAAGGGGATCTTATATCCATAATCCACATTAGTCGGTTCGATTCCCACCTAAGGCACTGGTTAGGTAGCGCACAACAGGCCCGATATAGGCCTAGGTGTATTTCTTCGTATTTGATGTATATATGTAAGTACATCCTCCTTTCAAACTAACTAACTACGCTAAACTAAGGTGAAGATATCTGGAAGATGAAAGAATATATGTTAGATGTTAATTCATTTTAAAATGGACTTTCAGATGGTTTAAAACATTAAACAAAATTATATTTTTTCAAACATCAGGACATTATATCTCGAATCCCAGATGTTTAAATTTTTAGAAAAGTACACTTTGGTCTCTGAGTTAAAAATTTGTGTAATCCATGCCCGACTTTACGAAAAAAAAGTTCGTAACTATCAAATATTTGACGGAAAGGACATAACACTATTTTTGTAAACGTACTTTTGATTTTACATGATTTTTGTAATAGCAAATAATGTCGAAACATATAATAAAGACAATCCAAACTGATATCTTTAAAGATGAAAATGAAATTTTTCTTAAATGATTTAAGAAAACTTTTCTTAAGTTATTTTTAATAGAATAACAAAAGTTAATTCATTTAATGCCCAAAGTAAATATACTATGTCGAAGAGTTAAATTAAATATTTAGTTTATTTAGTTCTCAATGCTTCATGAGTTTATTTTGCACTAATATTATTTGATTGTTAATGTCAGTAAAAAATTAATAACTTTATAAATACTTTAATAAATAATGTTTTATAAATAAATTTTTCAATGCAGTTTGCCATACGAACGGATGGACTCGCCTGAACTACCCAAAGTCTAATGAGATATTAATGAAGACACTTAATAGCGAATACAATTGACATTAGGATCAATCCAAGGTGGGAGAATATACTGCTTCTGCATGTATTTTCTAAGGAATCCGGTTATGGGAATAATAACATGCGACACTCATAAACTTACTTTTTTGCGACGGTCTCTGAGATATATTAAATGCAATAAATTATTATTTGGCGTACTTTTAACAGTAGCCATAAATATAAGCTTGGCACAGCAAGATCACAATCGTAAATTACATAGTTATGGCGGACGTTTTGTGGGCGAAGAGGAGGCGGAAGCCATAGCAATCGAAGCAAATATGCGTCTGGCCAAAATCCCATGTAATTTTACTACTAAAACTAATTGTATATATGCAGAACAGCAATTAGACAGCCTCACTTTGCCAATAAAGGATTTAAGGCAGCGCAACAGCCAACATAACATAAACGAAATTGTTGTTTCTTGGGTGTCTCAAGCTGGCATTATAAATAGAACTGAACATACCCTTGGTGTGGTCCATAGCTATGATAACAGAAATGCCAACACCATTACCAATACTACTGATCCGAATAATGTTCGAGGGAAAGCCCAAAACGGTTTCTACAACTTCAATTGGATTTTTGAATTGTTGGCATGTATGATGTTGGCTAGTGCATTTGAAATTTGTCTCTTAGTATTGCGAAATTTACGAAATATCAGTTTGGCATTTTTTGGATTTTGGTCAGCGTTAAATGCACGTTTTCAGAAGCTCTGTTACGCTTGTCCTTCTACGTCGTCCGGCACTAAGAGTGATCAGCAGCGTAAGCGAAATGTTGCAATGGGAGAAAAACGCACACTGTCATATATATTCGCTATACTGACATGGCGTGCTTCACAAACTGCAAAAGGCGGCACAACTAGTACAGAAGCAAATTTAAGAGACGAAAATACTGGTGCAATCAGTTACGGTCACGTCACCACTATGGGAGACTTGTTGCTGCTTATACTATTCACTCATGTTTATTATCAGAGGCAAAAATTTCATCAGGGTTCAAATAATGATAATGTTAATGCCGAATCGGAAGAGTTATTGGAAGGTCACAAAGAACGCGAAAATGATAACAACGGTCCAGTTCATCAAGAATTCTATGATAAACAGAATGAAAAGATCAACAATAGTACTTTCAGCGACCAAACCCATAACAGACGTGGCCTAAGTAAACGCTGCTCCCATTATTGCGGAAACATGTATCAGCAAATTTTGTTGTTACAAGAGTATCATAAATCAGCTCAAGTCAAAATTGCACCTCTTACATCGTCGTACGCAACCAAAATACCTTATTTGACTTACTGCACCGGCATTGTTTGGCATACGTGCTGTTTCTGTCAGTATTCTTGTAGAACTTGTTGCTACTGTTGTAGCAGCTGTCGCTGCTGTCGGAATCAGCGTTGCTACATTTATGTACCACCACTATGTAATACCATCTACTGCTGCTGCTTCTATAAATCATTGAAATCCTTTCATGATGTAAACTTCCAATATTGTTGTTACCTCTGCTGTTGGCCGGATTTCTACCATATCAGTGCTGTGGGTTCTCATTCATCCAGATGTTGCTGCCACTTCTACTGCGAACGTGTCTTCAATCATTGTTGCCTCTGCAATGCCCTTGTAAATAAAGCATCTTCGGCTCGTGCTTTGCTTCTCCTAAACAAAATAAAAAGTTATTCTTCAAATGCCTACCGGCCTTCCCCAGACTACTGTGTGTGGAAAGTGAAGTACAACAACCAAAGTTATTCTCTGTTCTACGAGATAGATGGCCAAAGCTATTCTTTTCTCTATTTGATAGATGGCAGGTCCATGTTTGTGTGTAAGCGCAACTATTACCAGATAGCATTGGATGTGTTTTGCTCGCTATTACCGCAATATTTTGTGACTATAAAAAATTGTCAAAGTTTCGTAAAATGGAAGAAGTTTCACGTAGCTGTGGTGGTAATGGCTTTAATAGTAATTTGTGCCTCTAGCGCCGGGGCTAATTATGATCATCATCACTATTACAATTCGCTTTTCAATAAATGCCACAAGCATTTCTCCAGATGCAAACAAAACAGGAGAAAACGAAGGCGACGCCGACGTCGGCATCAACATTGTAAGGCCTATAGGCCGCAACATTACTTCTATACCACGCTGATACAGTGTGTTAAACGACAAAACGCTAAAAAATTGCATAAAAAATTCGCTACTAGACTACATAAAAAATCGGCAAAGTTATTAACGCCCAATATATACATAACATGTGAGTATTCCTTAGCTACAGGTACAGCTACAACACCAGTCACAACGAAACATCCAATTGTACGAGCTATAAAGCGGGTTCGTGGTTCAAAACCAAATATTGTCTGGTTGCTCATTGGGCTAATATGGTTCGAAGGACCAAAAATAGTTAACTGTAACGTTATTATAAACTATCAAAACCAGCAACAACACGAACAACAGCAACAACAACACCAACAAACCGGAAATAGCCATAAAGAAACAACAACCAATAGCGTGAATTCAAACTTTGAATACAAAATGGACAATTTCAATCAAATGAAGACTAAAAGTGGCAACAATAATAATAATAATAATAGTAATAACAATAGTAATAATAACGGTAATAAAAACAAAAATAAAAATAATAATAACAACAATAATAATAGCAACACTAACAATAGTAATAGAAGCTCCACCAGCAGTAGCAACATACATTTATCTGTTAATGTCATTCCTATTATTAACACTATACATTTTAAACATTATTGCAATAATAATTATCATCAGAAACTCATACGATCATCGCAACGTGTTCAACGTGCCTTAAAAACAAATCCAAATTTGGATACTAGTATAACTTCAAGTGCCTCCTTAAATTACAATAATATTAACGATGATTTGGACTCAGAACAAATGCCGTCGTCATCAGCATTTCAAACTTTTAACGAAGGTACGTACCAATCAATATATACATATTAGGCCGACTAACAGTAAAAATGCTATTGTTAATAAAAATAAGATAAATTATTTTATTTTGAGATTTTTCGATCCAATAATGACCGTTCGTGAACTTGACCATTTTAAAAGAAATATTATAATACATATCGCAATTTTTACAAATTCTGAATCATAAAGAAAGACATAAAGTTTTTTCTTGAACAGTTAACAACAACAAAATAATCTAATATTTTTTAGAGATGAACAAGTATCTTGTGCCTTAGGGTGGGTTGAAAATAGGCTTTTCTCTCGGATCAACTTCCAATAGTGAAATTATGTTGTATTTTAACGTCAAATGGAAGGTTGCAAAATATTATTCATCACCGCCAAAGTTTGAAAAAGCGTTTAATGGGAGATAATGACAATTTTTGGAGTTTTTTTCACAAAATGAGGCTTTAAGTATTAATTATTGCACCATTTTATAGCAAAATCGTAATGTCTACAAAATTGTCTTTCCAAAAAGGTAGAAAAACTCAAGATTGGTTAATAAAGTTTTGAGTTATTAACAAGGCAAGGATTTTTATGCACTAAAAAATGCAAACTATGCGCTTATAATATGCACTATAAAATAGGAAAATATGCACTAAAAATGTTGTGAAATTTAAACACCAATTACGTATATACTTAAAATATGATTTAATTAAAAAATTAGCGCATTTATGTAGAATTTGCTTTAATTCCGAATTCTATCGCATGGTGTGTTTTTAAATGAATTATGGAGGTTCTGAAGGATATTTTGTATGGGGGTTAGGGTTAGACAGATGTGTATGGAAGTCAAGTCAAGTTATTTGTTTATAAGAACACACAGATGGACAGACCCAGAATGTGATTTTAGGCCGATACTTTAAGATGTGTATAGGAGCAATATTTTTGGACGTTAAAAGTCATCGGCACAAACGCCCGACTATAGTAGTGTAGATTTTAAAAAATGATTAGAACTATTTAAAATTTAATTTCAAATTTTTTCAGATTGAGCCTAGTTATTTTTTCTTAAGTAAATATCAAATTTATTGTAAAAATATGTAATACAAAGAAATCAAAACACATTTTTGCTAGAAAAATAAAAAAAATGCAAAATATGCAAAAAAAAAAATTGAGATATATGCAATATATAAATAAATATAATAAAGCAAAATATGTAATTTATGCGTTTATAACAAAATATGCAAAAATATGCAACCACAAAACGATGCCAGTTTGTACCAAATTCTATGATTCGAAAAGAAAGATAGTTAAAAGTTATTTTAAGTTACTGACTATAAACATGCATTTGCATAGAAATCCTTGCCCTATTTATTAAAATTTCCCCCGAGAATCGATTTAGCTATGTCCGTCCGTCCGTCCATGTAAACCTTGTAATCAAACTACAGGTCGCAATTTTGAAGATAATTCAATGAAATTTGGTACATGATCTCCTATTGTCCCAGGGACGAAGCGTATTGCAAATAGTTACGATTGGCCCATTATTTCACCTAGCCCCCATACAACTGAACCCCTGAATAGGGCTTGTAAACCTTGTAATCAAACTACAGGTCGCAATTTTGAAGGTAATTCAATGAAATTTGGCACACGATCTTCTATGATACCAGAGACGAAGTCTATTGGAAATGGTTAACATCGGTCCTTTATCTCAGCTAGCCCACATACAACTGAACCCCCGAATAGGGCTTGTAAACCTTGTAATCAAACTACAGGTCGCAATTTTGAAGATAATTCAATGAAATTTGGCACACGATCTTCTATGGTACCGGAGACGAAGCCTGTTGAAAATGGTTAACATCGGTCCATTATTTCACCTAGCCCCCATACAACTGGACATTTTTTTAACATTCACATTTTTTTGTAACATTTGTAGGTTATTTATGGTCTGCCTCCCCCGACTATAATTTCTTACTTGTTTGTTGTTGTTTTTAATAAGATTTTTGTAAACTAACAAGTATACAGACAGGCTTAGATAAAGCGAATATATGATTTTATTGTTTTTATACCCATCAAAAAGATGGGGGGTATATTGATTTTGTCATTCCGTGAGTAACACATCGGAATATTGTTCACAGACCCCATAAAGTATATATATTCTGGGACCTCGTAAGATTCTACCGTCTGTCGGTTGTTGGCACGATAGCGTCCACAAAAATAGAGACATTGAGATGAAATTTTCCCAAAATATTTTTTATTCATCAGAAATGTTTGGTATTGAATATGGGCAAAATCGGTCAATGATTTCACATAGTCCCCCTACAAATGTACCCCCCGGTATATTGTGTAAAAAGCTTCAAACATTCACAAATTCGTTGTTTATGAAGCCAATGCCACAAAATTTCGCATAAGTTAGTTTTTTGACTACCGAAATAAAATTCTGAATTATGGCGGACATAGGACCGCAATTGGTCCTACCCCCCATATAAGGTCCCCTTCAGAAAATCACTTTAACGCTCATTATTGGCGTAAAAATACGAGTATAGCGATAAAATTTGACATAAGTATGTCTTATATGAGCCAAAACCTTTCCAGATTTCTATAAGGCCCCCTTCAGAAATACGAGTATAGCGATGAAATTTTACGAAGTAAGTTTAATACGAGCCAACACCTTTCCATCAAATGTTTTGTGGATCGGTCCATAATTGATCCAACCCGCCCATATAAGGTCCCCTTCAGAAAATTACTTCATCGCTCATTACTGGTTTAAAAATACGAGTATAGCGATGAAATTTCAGAGAAGTAAGTTCTATATGAGCCAAAGTCTATCTACCAAATTTTATGTGGATCGGTCCATAATTGACCCTACCCGCCCATATAAGGTCCCCTTCAGAAAATGACTTCATCGCTTATTATTGGAGTAAAAATACGAGTATAGCGAAGAAATTTGACATTAGTAAGTATTAGGGTGATCCACTCGATTTTTCAACCGGTTTTTTCTGCTTTACCAGTGTCGGTTTTTTCTTAATGTTGATTTTTCGAATATCGAATAACCCGGTTTTTTCACTTTTTAAAAACCGGTTTCGAATACTTTCATTTGCTTTGTATTCAAAGATTATTTAAATATAATTTTTAAGTAAATAATAATACAGCCCGTCTAAATTTTAAAAATATTCGAGTCGAGGAACTAGCGTATATTTTTCTACAGCTCCTTAAACTTTTTTGATTTTCCTAATTAATTAAAAAAAATGATTTGTAAAATTGATAACTGTTTGATAAAATTTTATCAATCTTAAGATTATATTCCAATTACAATAATTAATTTACGGCTGAAATTTTATGGAAGTGTTGGAATGCCTATGCAAATTTCCTAAACAGGGCTTTTAAAATAAGCTAGGATTACATAGTACCTTATGTTTAACAGAAGTGTCCCACTTTTTTCCTAATTTTTTTATAATAATGAAATAATGTAAATCAGACGACTAGATCTAAAGATATACCCCCTTATTCACAAACAACATTTTTATTTTATAAAAGGTTTATAAAACAAAATTTCCATATAAAATCTTATTTTTAAACTGTTTATAAAATAAAAATTTTGTTTGTGAATAAGGGGGATAATCTGTTAAACTGTTAAAAATCATTTCACATTAATCACATTAAGTTTTTCAAATTAAAATATATTTTTTTTATTTATAATGAAAAACCGGTTAACCGGTTTTTTCTGAATTTGAAAAATATCAACCGGTTTTTTTTAAAAGTCATCTATTCGAACTATTCGAAAACCGGTTTTTGGAAAATGTCGAATAATCGATCACCCTAGTAAGTATCTTAGGAGTCAAAACCTTTCCAGCAAATTTTATGGGGATCGGTCCATAATGGACCGTACTCCCTATATAAGGTCCCCTCCATAAAATAACTATAACGCTCATTACTGGCTTAAAAATACGAGTATAGCGATGAAATTTCACAGAAGTAAAGTTTATACTAGCCAAAATCTCTCCACCAAATTTTTATGTGGATCGGTCCGTAATTGAACCTACCCGCCCATATAAGGTCCCCTTCAGAAAATTACTTTAACGCTCATTATTGACGTAAAAATACGATTATAGCGAAGAAATTTGACATAAGTAAGTATCATAGGAGCCAAAAACTTTCCACCAAATTTTATGTGGATCGGTTAATTAGGTCCCCTGCAGAAAATTACTTTAACGCTCATTACTGACTTAAAAATGCGTACAAAAAATTTACAAAATCTCTCTACCAATTTTTATGAGGATCAGTCTATTATAACCCCTCCCCATATAAATTCCCCCTCAGAAAATTACTACAACGCAACAAATACGAATACCGCAATGCAATTCGACATAAACTAATTTTATTCTAAAATCTCTCTACCATATTTTATGAGGGTCGGTCCATAATTAACCCTAACTCCGCATAAAGTCCCTTTAAGAAAATTACTTTAATGCTCATTACTGGCTTAAAAATACAAATACATAGATCTATGAAATTTAAAATAAATAAGGAACTGAAATCTTCCTACCGACTTTTATGAGAATTGGTCCATATATGTATAAATAACCCTACTCCCTATATAAATTAATATATTGCCAATAGTCCAACCCCCATTAATGGACCTCTTTCAAATATTTCCCTGATGTTCTCATTAATATCGAATAATAAAATATTCAAAATATAAGTTTATTTATATGGCAGTGATTTGATGGTGGATATTAAAGATTCGGCATAGCCGAATATAACACTCTTACTTGTTTATTTTTTAAAAGTGTAAAGTGATATATTTTGAATGTAATAATGATATATTATTATATTACTGATGTAAGATACAAGAGGATGATCATGTTTGACCTGGGAAACATTGGTGGGACAACAATTCTACATAAATGTTAGTTTATATTTATTTTAAAGACTTTAACGATGGACAAAAACAAAGCCTGTTAAAATATACAGTGTCTCTCATAATTCGAATTTGGGTAAACTATAAAAAGAAACCAAGTTTAATAATATATT